ACCGATTAATGCTAACCTTTAAATTGTTTTTTTATGTTTATATAAATTGATTTTTTTTATAAATTGTGTAGATTGATTTTTTTATATAAATTATTATATTAATATTAAAATTAAAATTGTTATATAAGCCTGATTTTTTAGTTTTATGATAGATGTAAAATTTTAAAATAAATTAAATAAAATTAAATTCGTAATATGATTTATTCTAAATTAAATTCGTAACATTCATCTATTTTTAGAAAACTTTATGGTGGCAGATCCGCTACATATTCGAGGAAATCGTAAATAAATAAATAAATATGAAACAGATTCCCAATAATAATGTTAATATAAATATTGAGTTTCCAATATACTCAGGCAATGGCGATCTTTTTTTGAGTAGATTAGAAAACATTTTCAAGGACACTCAGATCTCGGACATCGAAAAAGCAGGTTCATTTACAAGTAGACGACTACCAGATGAGGTATATATCAAGCTCAAATCGATATGTTCACCTACCGACTTCATCAATCCATCGATATTGATTGAAAAATTCAGGTTATTACACCCAAGGAAATCTACAAGTTCTAACTTATTATTATTTAACGCAGCTGTACAAGGTAAAAACGAAAGTTACATCAATTGTGTAAGTAGATTATGCATTTTAAAAATGAATGTTTGCTAAGTGATAGTAGAGTTATTGAAAAAGTAAAAATTTCATCAATCAGCAAAAATATTAGGCAGAAAATTACGTTAAAAGAAAACATTACATTAGCAGAAGTTCTTACTTTAAGAGATGATATTGCTAAAGTTGAAAATATTTCTTTAAACGAAAAAACAGAAGATGATACAACCGTGAAGCATGTAGAAAGGCAAAGAGGCAGGAAAACAGAAGAAAATAAACAATTGGTGAGATATGGAGACCACGACGAACGACAAAATTTACAATCTAATTACGATAACAGACAACGATGGACAACAAGAAACCATGACTTTCAAAGAAATATTTATCTACGAAATAATTATAACCCCAGATATCAAGGAAATAATTACAACCCTAGATATCAGAATTATAACGCGAATTATTACAACAACGTCAGAGCAAACTATCCAGTATCATACAATAATCCTTCGAGATTTGATAATAGAGCTAGTAATAATAACAATAACTATAATAATAATAGATTTAAACAGACATTATAACGATTCAAGATTTAGTCAAAGATATAACGATAATCATTATATTGGAAATCAAGGAAGAAATCAAGTATGCAATTGTAAATATCATAACAACGACAATAATCATTCACGATATACAAATAAAGTAAACACTGTAAATATAGAAGAAATAAAAGAAGATGATAATGACAAACTAGAAAGAAAAAATATAATTTATACAATTTAGACATAAACAATATGGATACCGATAATAATTACACAGCTAACGATGCTTATAAGGTCACAGTATATTTGAACGACATGCCTATTTTGATGCAGATTGATACCGGCTTGAGGTATAGTATTCTACCGATTCATATCGCGAAAAAGATTGGAGTAAAAATCTTAAATAAATCAGATATTAAATTAACTGGATATGATGGAAACACAATAAATGTATTAGGAACTACCAAAGTCAAGGCAAAATTCGAGGACAAAAGTCAAATCTTAACTACTTATGTAGTCCAGAGTGATAAGATTGCACTGTTAGGAAGGACCTGGATAACAGTTTTTGGGAATATACTAGATAAATTTTTGAATATGGTCGAGGATGATTATGATAATACTATACAAGAATTAATCGAGCAATGCAATTTTAAACTTAACAAAAAACCAATGCTACGCAGCTATGTCAAATTACGTTTAAAACACGATGCCACACCGAAAATCATACCGCCAAGGCGTATACCATATTCTAGAGTTGATTTGATAACAAAAAAACTTCAAAAGTGGATAAACGATAATATTATTGAACCTGTTGAAGATGTTAGATGGGCTAGTCCTCTCACTCCCGTTTATAAGAGCGATGGCTCACTTAGGCTCTGTGCCGACTTCAAAAATACTATTAACCCTGCTTTACAAGATTTCAAGTACCCTATACCACGTATAAATGATTTAATCGCTAAATTATCTAAAGGTAAAAATTTTACCAAGATAGATTTTAAAAACGCATTTCTCCAAATACCCATACACAAGGAATCAAGAGATTTTCTTACGATATCGACACTTAAGGTTTATTATAGGTTTAAGAGACTGCCGTTTGGTTTAAAAACTTCGTAGGCAATATTCCAACAAACTATGGATAACATTTTCAGAGATTTAAAAGATGTTATATTTTTCATTGACGACTTGTTAATTACAGGTGATAACGATGAGATACATTTGGAGAACATTAAAAAAGTATTCGAAAAGATCATCAAGTATGGATTAACCCCTAATTTCAACAAAAGTTTATTCCTGCATGATAAAATACGCTTTTCTTTTTGGGACATGATATAGACAAACATGGTATACATCCCAACGATGATAAGATAAAAGCTATTTCTAACATGGCGGAAACGAAGACAAAAGATGAATTGACAACTTTTTTGGGGATGGCGAGCTATTATCGAAAATTTTTATGTAATTTTGCGGACATAGCTGATCCTTTATACGAAATGGTTAATAAAGACAAATGGTTTTGGGATAATACACATCAAGAAAGCTTCGACGACCTATAAAATCTGATAATTCTCCGCCTACGTTAAATTTTTATAATCCGGATCTACCAATAGGCATTGCAACTGATGCTTCAAAGAAACGTCTAGGCGCAGTCTTATTCATATTGAAGGTGATGGTAAAGAGAAACCCATTGCTTTCGCGTCAAGAGCTTTATTGAAATCAGAGTTTAATTACACTAATATAGAGAGGGAAGCTTTATCTGTTATATAAGCGGTAAAAAAGTTTCAAGAATATTTAATTGGTACGAGATTTACAATAATCACAGATCACAAGCCACTCGTTTATATATTTACGAAGGGACTTAAGGATAACTCATCCATATCAGTGCGACTTCAAAAATGGAGTTTGGCTATGGGAGCCTATGACTTTACGATAATTCATAGACCCGGGAAACGAAATGTAGTATCGGATTGTTTGTCAAGATTACCCCAAATGAACACAGAAGAAATGATACAAGAGATAGATGATAAAAAAATTGATGACAAATTTTGGGATTTACCAATAAATTTTAAAAGAATAGTTCAAGAAACTAGTATTGATATCGAATTAATGGAGGTAATTAACAATATAAAGTATAATGAACAGATAAAGAATAAAATATATAAAAATATGGAAATGGAACTGAGCTTAATTAAAGATTGTCTTTTTAAAGAGAATAGGAGCATTATACCAAAAAATATGAGAAAGGAGATATTACAGGAATTACACAAAGGGCATCTTGGTGCTGGGAAAACGAAATTGTTGGCGAGAGATTAATTGTGGTGGCCAGGTCTAAGCGCTGAAATAGATCAGGAGGTGAGAAACTGTGATACGTGTAATAAATATGCGGACAATCCTCATAATGTACAAAATCCATGGGAAACAGCTGTAAAAGTGTTCGAACGCGTGCACATCGACTTTGCACAGTTTGAAGGTAGCAATTTCTTGGTGTGTGTTGTCGCATTTATCAAATTCCCTATCATTAGAAGAATGAGAGATATAACTACTGAGTCTACAATTAAAGAATTATTAAAAATAATCAGTTTGTTTGGTATCCCCGATATGATAGTCAGCGATAATAGTACGAATTTTACAAGTAGCTTGTTTAAAAAATTTTGTAGTGATCATGGAATTGATCACATTTTCACCGCGCCTTACCACCAACAGTCCAATGGTCAGTGTGAGCGAATGATAAGATCAATGAAAATGCATGAAAAGGAATATGGAAAGTAATAAGAAAATAGTCTTAGATATATCTTTAGAAAAGTTTTTATTTAATTATCGCAACACACCAAACGAGACACAACAAGACACCAAGCGAAGTGATGTTCAACAGAACCATAATAACCACATGGGATTTAATAAAACCGCAAGAAGATAAAGTAAACGAATTTAATCGCAATTTATCGTCAAATAGAAACATCATGAATGATGACAAAGTATGGTATAAAACCTTCAAGGGTAATATGTGGGACAAAGGCACGATAAAACGTAAAAATGGGAATTTAACATTTGAAGTTGAAACAGGAGACAAAATTATTAGAAGACATTTAGACCAAATTAAAAAAAAAGGTTTACGAGTAGCGCACCTCTTGATGAAACGACACATGTGAAAACAAATGCAATAAATTTTACTGTAAGAAATGATGATCCAAATTTAGGAGTACAAGAACAGAGTCTTGTTAGTTAAAGATCTAGCAGGAATATAATTTTGCCCAAAAAATTCGATAATTATATAATGAAATAAAGACTATAAATATATGTATATATAAAATATATTTTTCTTTTAAATAAACTTTCAATAGCAAAAGTTAATGATGACAATAAAACTATCAAGAAACGTTGACTACAAGATAAGATTCACATGCAAGAAAAACCTGAGTGGAGATCATTTTTTTAAAGGGTGGAATGTTGATATGACCGATTAATACTAACCTTTAAATTGTTTTTTTTATGTTTATATAAATTGATTTTTTTTTATAAATTGTGTAGATTGATTTTTTTATATAAATTATTATATAATATGAAAATTGTTATATAAGCCTGATTTTTCAGTTTTATGATAGATGTAAAATTTTAAAATTAAATTCGTAACTTTGATTTATTCTAAATTAAATAAAATAAACTCTTAATATTCATCTATTTTTAGAAAACTTTAATATTTAAAAAAAATTAATTAATATATTTGATATCGGAATATTTTTTTGAATTAGGAGGTTATATTTATAGTATTAAATATTATATAAATTTGGGTAATAATAAAATTACAATGTATTTAATTTTTATATGTATATAATTATGAAAATTAAAACTAAATTTTTATTTTGGAAGTTTTGTTTATTTGAATTCTCATTTAACATCTTACATATTTAAAACGTAAAATGCAGCTTTACATACGCGGAAATAAGCTGTTTACACTGAAAGCTCAGAAAGATGATAATGTTAAAGCAATAAAAGTAAATTAATATTAATAACATTTGTCTTTATTTTTTTATATATAAATAATAATAATAGGAAAAAATATTTGAATCACAAGGAGTGGAAATTTCTTCTCAAATACTATCTTATCATGGGAAACCCTTATATGATAATTTATCACTTGAAAATTATAATATGAGTGATAATTCTACATTAGATTTTTCCATCAAAATCCTTGGAGGTAACTTTCTAAAAATTATGATGAGAATGTCTCGTTCGTATGATTATACTGATTTTACTAATCATCTGAATTGCGAATTGTACCAATTAATAAATTATTATATTTAGGGAAAGTTCATGGTTCATTAGCACGAGCTGGTAAAGTAAAAGGCCAAACTCCAAAAGTAGAAAAACAAGAGAAGAAAAAGGCTAAAACTGGAAGAGCTAAAAGAAGAATTCAATATAATAGACGTTTTGTCAATGTTGTTGCAGATGGTAGAATGAAGAAGAAAGGACCAAATTCAAATTCTTAAATTCTTATTAAAAATAAAATGTTATAAAGGGTTATGTTTAATAGTTTTATTTTTATATCAAATTAGTTGTTAGTTAAATTTTATAATTAACTTTCTAAATGGTTTGCCTAACTTAGCTAATTAACAATGCTAAATGACACCAGGCACTTTATATAAAAATAAATCCTTGTAAATTATTTTAAAAGTAAATTGAATAATAATTATTCATGCAACTTCACTGAGAAAGATTTGATAAAGAATATATGAAATCTTCCAATTATTATAATATCTATGGTAAAGTATTTATTTCAGATTTTGTCATAAAAATAATGACACATCCACTACATAATTACTAGTTGCTTGGTGAATTACATAGTGATGGGCTGCAGTTATGACCTCACTTTCTGTGCGTGCCATTGGTGGTAGTTGGTAATGTGTTAGTGTTTTATATCGGTGCCCTATGATTATGAAAACTGATGATGGCAATGTCCTGCCATTTTATTTCAATTAACTTACCTTGAGGGAGTCAGTTTTTGTTTAACCAATAAAAGATCCCCTGGTTTCATGCTATCCATCCACTGTTTCTTTTTCACTACAATATCCACCCTTTCATTTCTATTTTATATTGAGATTTGCACTACTAGAAATATCCCTTGTAATCTCAGTTATGTGCTCCATTTATTTTATAACTTGTTTTATTGTATATTAAGTATGGGCATACCAATTAAGGTTTGCAAAATTCATTATTTTAAAAAATTTTATTTTTTTAATTTAAAATTGTTTGGCCTGTCAAAATCAAACATTTATAGAATCCTCCATCTTTCTCTTAGAGGTTAGTATTATTTATGGAAATATGTTTTAATTTATCTTCTTTTTAAGGACAAATCAATTGTTTATAACAAATATATTTGACAGTCAAATATATTTATAGTAATTTAATTATTATCTGACCATCCTTTATATCAACATTATACTTTCACTGACATTTCTTTTCCTATCTTTGCCAAAATATGTTTTAAATTTAAATGTGGCTAATTTTATACATTGATGTCAATCTTTTATATATCTTGGTAAAATTTAAAGTTACATCTAACCTATTTAATAAAATATGTTTTCTCTGTGAAGTTGGTGAAACAACTTGAGAATCAAATTTTGAAATTTATGTCAATATTTAAATGGATCTTCAAACCAGACACCAGTAATTAAGTGAATTATTTTTTAATCTATTGGTATTTTATGAATAGCACAATTATTTGATTCAAAATTATTTATAATGGAATTATTCGATCAATTACCTACCTTATACAACTTTATTAGAAAAATTTAGAAATTTATAATGAATACAAAGTTAAATCTGTTATATAACAATAGCTTAGTCTTGGATAAAATAAACAAAATATCCCATCAATATGTGAGGTTGAATATCTTAATGAATTAAGAATTGCTTTAGTAAGAGCCCATTAGAATGGTGGAGATTGTATGTAGATCATTAGCCCTTGTTCTTGAAAATGGGAATACATTTCTATTCAGGGATCTTTGGTTTCATCTTAGTTGTTATTTTCAGTAGGGACAAGTATGATAATGAAGAATAGAATGTCTATGAAGGAAGAAACCATTAGAAAAACTTAATGCTTGAACTAATTATTGTTAAATTCACATCTAATTATATTTTGATGTTTATAAAATGAGATAATTGTGCATTTTTAGAATATTAGATTGAAGAAATAAGAATAATGTATAAAAAAGAATAAAATTCGTTGCTTTTGACCCCAATTATTTGGTTAACATTATGAAATCATTGATTTTATTTTGTTTGTTATTTTCTGTAAATTTTGATACACTAATTACAATTAATTTTAGAAACTTTAAAAATGTCATTTTAAAAAAATATAATTATTTAGCCTAAGGAAATTTTTTGAATCAAATAATGATTTTATTATTCGATTCGTTATTTTGTAGGCGTACTATTAAGTAGCCCTGTAATTCATCTTCAAACTGGATACCGGCGGAATTAACCGTTCATGAGTTATTAAAAATAGAAATATTTTGCCATGCCAAAATTCGAAATTGATTTCTACTAAACAGCAGAATATTTAGTGCCTTGATTGATTTTCCATATTCTTTAAACGGAATATCAAAGAAATTAACCGGAGGTGAGTTATGAGCAAAATAAGAAAAGTGTTTGAAGCTAGAAAAGCCAAAATATTGTGTAGCCCTTTAAAATATAATTTTAAAACACCATTATTTAGAGCTTAATTTGTAAAATTGTGTACAAACTATTTAAATCACAATTTTAAAAAAATCATTTAAATGACCATTTTAATCAAATAGATTTTGAAAAAACCGCTCTTTGGAATCTCCAGTTTCTACATTTTTTTTTTTTTGATTAATTCGAAAGTTTCATCCCCATTGCTTTTTAGAACTGTTATTAAGGAAGCCTACTGGTTTGAGTGTGTGGTATGTTAGCCTATTTGAAAGTTTGTAGTATGATGTTGATTGCTTTGTGACATGTATGGCGTCCGTGAAAATATTTTAATTTTATTTTCAACTTTTATTTATTTTAAAACAATTGTTTTTTATTAAAAATATATAAATTTTATAAAAAACATTTTTTTATCATAATTGTAGAATCATTTTAGTCTGCCATTTTTAATAGAAATTTACCCACTAAGCTAATTTTAAAAGTTTTTTTATAAATGATGATAAAATATAATATCTATTTTATGATATTGTTTGTGGATTCTTAAATAGAAAGAGTAGTACAAAATCACTTGGTAAAATAGTTTTAAAAAAGATGCAAGTTACAAATTATCAAATATAATCTTGATTACATAAATGTAATGCTGTAAACGAAACGCGTTACCGTTACTCATTACAACTAAAAAAAGGAACGCGCCTTACCGACTTTTCAAAAAAGTAACGGGCTACTCGTTACTTAAAAAAATTAAATATATACAAAAATATTTATTTTTTTTCGACATAATATATTATAAGATTACATCTTTATGTAACAATTTTTTATTTATTTTTAGCATCAATTGATTTCAAAATTTTGATCAGACAAACAAGAGCGCTTAGTGCTCAACAGAGCTGGTATAATGGGATGTTATATATAGTATTTTAATAATAAATAAAATCTATAATGAAATTCTCTTTAAAATTTTGTTATTGGATAAATCTTGGCTATGCCACTCTTTCATATATATTTATTATTTAAACAAAGTTTTTTTAAATCACTATTTTTTATTCTTTAAATTTATTAACAATTATAGTCAAACCAGTGACGAAGCGTCCATAGAAGCAAGGGAAGCATTGCTTCCCTTGAAATTTTTCTTACAAAATTCTTAAATAAACTTAATATAATCTATATACTATGCTAAATAAAGTAAACTGACTTCGTTAAAAAAATTAATATAATTTTTATAACGTTAAAAAGATGAATATTATTTTTGTAACGTTAAAAAGATTAATATTATTTTTACTATATTAAGAAATATTATTTTTACTACGTTAAAAAATTTACTATTATTTTTACTACATTAAAAAATTTACTATTATATTTACTACGTTAAAAAAATATACAAGAGGGAAGCAAATTTAATATTGCTTATTTTTTTTAATAAATAAAGAGAGAAAATCATTGTATAATTTTACTATTAAAAAATAAGCATTGGGGAAGCAAATAAAAAAATGCTTATTTTTTTAAATAAATAAAAGAGAAAGAAATTTTTTTATATAATATTTTTTTCCTTACTTTTTTTAAATAAAAAATTTTTTCGTTTTTAAAATTTAATGTTTAATAATTGTAATTGTATTATTGAAAATTTATTAACATTATCATTTAGCTCAAGAAATTTTGATGCGAAAAAATTGATTATTGAAAAAGGAAGACTAAAACCAATTTTACAAAACTTAAAAAAGTAATCAAAACTTGCATCCGTAATTTTTGTATCGATAAATAATATGAATGGCTCACTGGATATGACTTTTTTAATTCTCTATATTGTTGGTCATGCCTATTATTCCCAAAGGAAAAATATGTTTGGAATGATAAAGGATTTTCGGTTATGAGTAATTTTTCAAAGGCAGTTAAATGGAATGAAGAATCAACCGCTCATTTGCAGGATTCAATTATAAACATCTGGCCAAAATCATATTAAAAATATGATAGATTTGATGCGCAAAATATCAATTGAACAGCATAATTCGAAAGTCAAATCAAATAGGAAAATATTGATCAACTCTATTCGTTTTCTTGGAATTCAGGAGCTCGCATTCCGTGGTGATGATGAATTTTCTATATTGAATTAATATGCTGGCGGAAAAAAATTTACTATTGAAATATCACTTAGAAAATAGTATAGTTTTTTATTGGACTATCAAGCGATATTCAAAATGATTTAATAAATTCCATTTCATATGTCTTATACCAAAAAATTTTAAATGAATTAGAAGAAACGGAATTTATATCAATAATATTAGATGAAACAACAGATATCAATAATAAATCTCAACTGGCTGTAGTTCTTCGATATGTTTTTAAATAACACTTTGTATGAAACAAAATATTTATTAAATTTAAACGACACTTATTCTCAATTTTTCGACTTACACAAGTTGGAAACCGAATTAAAGGTAGTGTTTCGGGACGATGAATTTAGAAAGAAAAAGAATGTTAATGAAATACTCCAATTTTTAATATGCACCGATTTGATGAAAAGTTTTAAAGAGTTTTCTAAATTATGCAAATTCATCTTAACTTTGGCTTCAACAATAGCAAGTGCAGAACGGAGTTTTTCATCTTTAAAAAGAATCAATCAATTGCAGAAAACAGAATGAGCCAAAATCGATTATCAAATCTATCTTTGATTTCGATTGAAAAAAATTATTAAAAAATTTAAAATCTAGCGATAACTTTTATAATGCAGTACTTGATCATTTTACTCAAAAACAAAGACGAACCTATTTATAAATCTTAATGTTTTTATGGTTTGAGTTTGACTAAAATATAAAAATTAAAAATTATTTTTGATTGCTTCCCTAGTAGTAAACTTGACGCTTCGTCACTGAGTCAAACCAATAGCAATACTAAAACAAGAAATAGAAGATATAAAAAACTCAATATAATACTTTGAACCAACACCAATATTTTGTTAATTTTGGGTTTTTAATG